GCCATTGGCGGAGGGAGGGCTGGAGCTTCATTAGGGGAAAACGAGAAACGGGAAGGGGAAGGCGAGGGAGGAGATTAATGGGCATAGTCGCAACAGCTCCAGCTCCGGAGGATGCCTGCAGAATCTGAAAGAGAAAATAATGAAGATGAAGCATTAGGGTTTAAACGGACTTAGCAGCCAACAGAATAACTAAAGACGATTTTAACTAACTGTCTAACCAACAGTTACTAGAATATAACTACTAGTTGAATACAAAAATATTAATAGTTTTTCTTAACCCCTTTGTGCCTAGGCACCCTGATATCTATCTAACATAATCATGCAAGTTCTACTTTTCTAACCTTCACAACTCAATTGCAATATCAATCATACAAAATCTCATCGGCAACTTCAACATGTTATTTCATCAATTCCACATGATCAGTGAAATAGCAATAATATGCATGAATTACATAATTAACAAGAGTTTAAGCAAGTAAAGCATAAGAAACCAAGCAAACAGGGCACAAGCACTCAATTAGAATATAATCTCCACCGGTGAGAAACCACTCGCTGAACCAAAAATTTCTAAATTAATCAGAAACAAAGTTCTTGTAATGCCCCGGGCCCAAGATTCGAAATCTGGATTCGGCACCACTTTGCCCCGGCATTCCCCTAGAACCGGCCGCGCCACCGTTTAGTTCTAAGCTACTAAGAAGAGCATAGACTATCCCTACAGACCAACACGAGTCCTTCCAACATGCTTCCTAGTAAAGCAACTAGGAGATCACCCAGTCAAAGATTGCTCTAAGTCAAGCACGCTTAACTTTGGAGTTCTTACAATTGAGTTACCGAAAAGGAAGGTGCACCTTGGTGGTATAGATAGTAACTATCAATTCTTTTAAACCTTTTCCCTAACCATTCTTCCATGGTCTCAGGATCCCTCTCATTTGGATGTGGTATTGATTCATCCATGTATCCCTCCTCTAGTCGAGCGTCACATGAAAAAAACTTCCGTCCTTGAAAGTTTGAGGGACGCACTACTCTAAACGTCGGAGACTCCCCCTCCTTCAACAACTTTCGTACTCGAAAGTTGACTAGTCAAGCAATTCTAGGTGCTAGACCTCAACCTATAGATTTCTTCTTAGTTTCTTCCTTGCAACAACTTTACGAAGGAAAGTTTCTCGCTTCCTTTTTGCCTTTAGAGGAAATGCTTAACTTTTGATGGACTCCATCTAAAGAGCTTTTTCCACTTTCACTAATTAATTGACAACGAACACCAAACCTGACGGTGTGAGGACCTACAACGAACAACCTAATAGTTCCAACTTAAACTCACTTACCAAACATAATCATAAGAAACAAGGAGTGACCCAACGTCTAATTCCTTTGGTGGGTCATCAACTCCCTTCGACTTAAAGGTCGGTTTCTATACCTTGAGTTTGATCAATGACAGAGAACATTCGACGTTCGCTATTAACTAAAAGCTAACACCGAGTCTTAGTAGAAGGTAACAACCTAAAACCACTACAAATAAATAAACACAAAATTAAGCAAATCTACTTAATTAACTAGGGAGCATCCTATGCCAAACTAACTCACAAAGTATCAACATAACAAATCACAAAACAAACATGTTACACATAAGCAACTAAAGTCAAACAAAAGTGAATAATAAGTCCATCAAACAAAAAGCCATACCATAACGAGTTCACATACCTGGTGATGGAAAGGAGACTAAGAAAGACCATAACACTAAACCACCTAGGTTCTAGGCCAGTCTAGAGGACTAACTCCGCTCTGATACCAACTGTAATGTCCCCAAATTTTCAACATCCCAAATGGGAATCGTTACTAAAACCAACTAAAAGTACCACTCGTACTAGAGAATTAAACCACTAGGAATGGACAAATTCTCACCACGCTTCCACTTCGCTACTCTGATTAACAACACTCACAAAAGTTTAAACAAACCAAACAACATCTGAAATTAACCAAAATTACAATCATTTATAAACATCGAATTAAGAAACAGATCCAGCTTAAATCAAGTTCACGATTAAACAACGACCTAACTTTAAAAAAACCCAGCTATAGAATAGAACGATCTAAAACATCTGCCAACGACCTGAACTTTGCACAAACAGTATCTAAACAAAGTACATTAACTGAAACAAGATAAACTCCTAACAACCTATCCTGAACTCAATAAAACTAAACAAGCTAGCTATGGTCTTTCTTCTCGAGTCTCTTCCTCGCCATCACCATTCCAAAGGGTTAACTCATTGCCAACAAAAACTAGAAAGAAAAAGAGGGGTGAGTACAACCACAGTACCCAATAAGCAGCCCTTATCTGAAGGATCACACACAAACAACATGCTCACCGAAAGTTCAAACGACATGCATAACAAATCACCATGCTTTATTAATAATTTATATGTAAAATAAATAAATATTCAATAAAATGTGAAAATTAAAATATATATATATATATATATTCAAATAAAAATTAATTTAAATAATTGAGAAAAATAAAAATATTCAGAATAAAGAAAAAAGAAGCAGAGAGAAAATTGTATTTAAAATAAATGGTAAAAAATAGTTCTCTAATGCTACAGAAGTAAATAGAAATAGTTGTATTTATAGGAAACTGTATTTATAATCAGTGTTTTCGAGGCGCACCCAGGCGAGCGCCTAAGGCGAGGGGCGAGGCGATTTCGCCTGAGTGCGCCTTGAGTGGTGCCAGGGCGACCGCCTTCAACTGGGCGCTCGCCTTGGTGTGCCTCACTGCGCCTTGGCACGCCCTCGCCTTATGGCGAGGCGAGCGCCTGGTTGAAGGCGGGCACATCAAACTTTTTTTTTTATTTTAAATCAGTTTAACTCAATAAAAACCCACCTCATAACGAAAATAAACAAAAAGAGAACGAAGAGTTTAAAAAAGAAGAAGATGAAGAGAGGAGAAAAGTAGAACCGTAAGAGATAAAGAAGGGAGATAATAGAGATAGTAGAGTTGGAGGAAGAAGAAAATTTGAGGCAGAGCATGTTGAAGAAGAAAAGCTTGAGGAGGAGAAGAGCTTTTCTTTTTTTGTAGAGTACGAGAAGAAGAAAAAATTGAGGGCAGTACTAAAGAAAGAAAAGTTTGAAGGCAACACATTTTTCTATGTGCTTGCTAGCTGTCAAATAGTATTTGTGTTTCCCATAAACACAGCTATTTAATAAATAGAGTTTCCCATAAATACAACTATTTCTATTTAATTCTTTAGCATTAGAGAACTATTTTTTACCATTTATTTTAAATACAATTTTCTCTCTGCTTCTTTTTTCTTTAATCTGAATATTTTTATTTTTCTCAATTATTTAATAATTTTTATTTGAATATATTTTTTTTTTAATTTTCACATTTTATTGAATATTTATTTATTTTACATATAAATTATTAATAAATATTATTTATTAAATATTTTATTCAGTGTGCCTCGCTTCACTCAGGCCTCGCCTTTTTATCGCCTCTCGCCTTGAGGCGATCAAAGGGCTTGTCGCCTTGAAGTGCGCCTTGCGCCTTGAAAACACTGTTTATAATAAATAGCTGGGTTTATGGGAAACACAAATACTATTGGACGGCTAGCTTATCATGCAAGCACATAGAAAAACGTGTTGCCTTCAAACTTTTCTTTTTTTAATACTGCCTCCAATTTTTTCTTCTTCTCGTACTCTACAAAAAAAGAAAAAAGCTCTTCTCCTCCTCAAGCTTTTCTTCTTTCAACTACTTCTTTCTTCAACTTCTTTCTTCATTCTTCAACATGCTCTACCTCAAATTTTCTTCTTCCTTCAACTCTACCATCTCTATTATCTCCCTTCTTATCTCCTATAGTTCTACTTTTCTCCTCTCTTCATCTTCTTTTTTTTTAAACTCTTCGTTCTCTTTTTGTTTATTTTCGTTATGAGGTAGGTTTTTATTGAGTTAAAATGATTAATTAAAAAAAAAAATTTGATGTGCCCGCCTTCAACTAGGCGCTCGCCTCAAGGCGAGGGCGCACCAAGGCACAGTGAAGCGCACCAAGGTGAGCGCCCGGTTGAAGGCGGTCGCCTTGGCACCACTCAAAGCGCACTCAGGTGAAATCACCTCGCCCCTCGCTTTAGGCACTCGCCTGGGTGCGCCTCGAAAACATAAGAACATAACAACAAATCAAACATAGCCATCCAAGATTACGTGTTTACAATTTATTCACACAACCACGTGTATTTATGGGGTATATCAACAATTATTTCAGCAATGACGATAACAACCACAAACAATCATACAAATATCACACATAGGCACACATGCAAACAACCAGTTCATATCGGCACACAACAATCAATCCCCTCAAGTAAGAAACTACTTACACACCCCTAAAAGCTCATAATCGTTGTGTTAGTTCGAAACCTAGGCACATAAGGAAAACCCAGCATGTTACAAGTCAATTTCGGCTACTAAAATTGAATCTAAAAGGGTGTTCAAGGAGGTCATTACCCACTGAACCTTGCTGAAACAATGGAGAAAGTGTTGGCACAATCTGGTGTTGGACGTCGGACCTCGCCACGAAAATGCCGTTACTGTCGCACTGAGCCGCCGTAAATACTGCTGTCTAGGCCGCCGAAGGATCTGTGCGCGAGGTTGCCGTCGAARTCGCCGAAYGCCGCACGAAAACGCTRCAGTAAATCACCGTGAGGTCGCCGTCACTGCTGTTATGGGTTCRCCGGAGGGAGARACGATGAAGCTGCAGAGGTCCACCGCGAGTCAACCGAAAAAAGTCGGATCTGGGGCCGACCGTCGTTGTTGTGGAGGAGGATACGCCCGTGGATGAAGCTCGCGTCGCCGTATCTGCCGTGCGCCGTCGCTGCTGGTTCGCCGAGTGCCACCGCTGGGGAGTCGCGCCACTGCTCGACGCCGGACGCTGCTCGTGGAGGAAGGATGTGGTGCCTGTGATAGAAAAAAATCAAAGGGGCGAGGGGGCTTGGGTGGCTGTTTGGGGAAGAGGAGGGAAGGAGATGAGGTTTAGGGTTTTTATTTTGTTTTCTTTATTTTATTTAAAAACCAAAAGCCTAATCCAATTTAAAAACAGGCAAAGAGGCCCACAGGTAAAAGTACAATTTTTTTAATTTAACCTTCAAAAAGAAAAGTCCAAGTAAAAACATCAAGCAATTAGAATTAAAATTCACCTCAACTCACGTCAACCCATAATAAAATTAAAATAAAAAAAAAACAAAATAATTTAAAATAAGTTTGAAATAAATTCTAAGTTCTTAAAAAGATTTGGAAAAAATAATTAACTTTCAAATCTAAAAAATAAAATACAAAAGTGAAAAGTGAAGATTAAATTCTCAAAACTTTGGATTAAGATTTAATTAAAAATCTCTTTCAGAAATTGAAAATTTAATTCATCTTAATCAAACGAAATTGAACTTTAAGTTTAGTTTACCCAAAATTATATCCTTGAAATTAAAAAAATTCAAGAATTTAATTTATTCCAGGAGGGAGAAGTCTACCGGCACAATCTAAATCTTAAAATAAATTAGCTAGAGAACGTGGGGTTATAGACTACCCACCTTAGAAAAAACTTTCATCCTTGAAAGTTCAAGGACGCACTACTCTAAATGTCGGGACGTTACAGTTCTCATAAATTAATTAAACTAATAGGCTCTAAAGGACTAGATTAACGAGATTTTACAGAGAGGATATTTGCTAATTTAATTCTGAATAGGTTCGTTCGAGGTAGTTTTGCTGAGTTCAATCAGGTTAGGAATATAGGAGCGGGTTGCGCTCCAGAAGAAGTTGGCGCCGCCGCACATCGAGAGTATCGTGTGGACCTTCGCGCCGCTGCTCGTGCCGGTGTTGAGTGTGTTGCCCTAAACTCGTAGTTTGTAATTAATGTAAAAACAAATTTATATTCAATAAAGTTTTATTCAATCAATTTGTTGTTGAATTCATTGCATTCCATTATCTAAATCCAATAAACTAAACATCCAATGTTATTATCATGTAACTGGGACAGTATATATAATGGGTATATATTTGATATATAAGTGGATAACGTCTCGGGAATAACCTAAAGTGTCTATAGTATATGGATAAGGCTGGATACCTTATCCTAGCAACACTATGGATACGGCCCACTTTGTAAATGTTACAGACGACATGATCTAGATCGTTCGTGTGGAGGCATGCGAGTGGGGGTACCCTATACAATGAGTTTGTATAAAATCGGACCACGAAATAGCCGATCTTTAGATGTAACGTCGTTGACTAATATATTGCTATTTCATAGAATAACCAGACAACTCATTCTCAATCTTGAGTGAGTTATGGACTCCTGCCCGTAAGGGCTCGTTCTTTAATCGGTATGGGTGAGAGTGGCTCGAGTCGCCGACTCAACATTCCCACCATTTTGGAGACGAGACCGAGTGGGGAGCTCGGAACATAACTACACAATATGGGATTCACACCTCCCCGACTTTAGGGGAGTAGATGAGTGTTCCCTTCAGTAATGACTCCGGGACTTGAACAAGGGGCCACACTCTCTCATTAGCTCGAGAGGGATTTCCGGTTATTGGTCGGACCTTAATCGGGTTGTTCATTAGAGGATCAGAGATACTTAAGGTACAGACGTAATAAAGGGGTAAAACAGTAATTTGATCCATCTGTGGTTACGAACACTCGTGAAGGATTGACTTGCCGTCAATGGTTGATATCCATGAACACAGAAATATTCTATAGTGAGAAGAGTGCAGTTGTGAGTTTTTAATGGAGTAACTCATAGTCAACGTATGTTGATTAAGGTGGTTATTGAGTTTGACCAATTAATCTTATAATGTTGGAGCTTCTGATAAGTCTATTAGGTCCCTTTGCTAGCTCGTAAAAGGTAAAACAAGGATTAAGTTTTTTGGAAAATTTTGAAATGTTCAAATTGCTCTAGGGATTATATGTATATTGATACATTATAATATATGGTTAATTCTAAATTAAAACTATATATTATGAAAGAAATTATTTGAATGAGATTCAAATAAAGATCCATATGAATAGGATTCAAGATCATCAAACTGGACAAAGAAAAAAACTCCCTAGAAATTTTTCTCTAAAAAAAAAGTTCTCTCTCTCAATTCTCTCTTAGCTTCCAATTGTTGCTCCCACAAACAAAGATTCTCACCAGAGACAAAGCAAGGAATATCGTTTGGTGGTGTCAATTGGATTTTTGTTGAAAAACTGTTCATCAAAGGTAATACCCAATTCCCTTGTATTCTCCTTTTGTTTTGTGTTTTTGTTCCTCAAAAAATTCAAGAACAAGATCTGTCTCCGCTGCGAGATTGACATCCCATCAGCTGGAAGCTCGCCGGAGTTTTGGTAATCGCTCGGATCTCATTGCACAGGTACGTGAGCGGGAAGGGAGGAGGAAGAAAGAGAGATACAATACCCTAATTTTTTTTAATAAAGAATATATTAGAAATTGATTTAATAAATTCATTTAAAAATTTTATTAAGAAACGTAAAGCTTTGGAGAACTTTTTATATTTGTCTCAATAATTTTTAGCATATTTTCTCTGTAGAAAATTTTGGAAACAGACAAAAATAATGGCTCATTTGGTAAGTTCTATGTTTCTTGTTTCTCGTTTTCAATTTCATTAAGATATCCAAACATTCGACAAACTATTTATGTTTCTTGTTTCTCATTTTGTAAGAACAATCTCAAAATTGTAGGGAAATCTTGGAAACGCCAAAGAAATGTTTCTTATTTCTGGTTTCCATTTTCAATTTATTCCAACATAAATAAATATTTTGCTTTATTATTCTTGAATTGGTGTGTTGGGGGTAATGCAATTATATTTTTTTTTATTTAAAAAGAGGAAACATAAACTATAAACGGAAACATTACCAAACGATCCTAAATTTCTTGTTTCTTTTTCCAATTTGTTTCACAATATAAATAAAAATATTGTTTATTTAAAAAAAATTCTTTTACCATTCTTGAATCCAGGAATGTTAGCTTATATAATTCTATTTTTCATGGACAAATGATTTCATCAAATAGTAAACACTTCACCAATTCATAGATGAAACAAGAAGAGGAAGAAAATTGTTTGTTGATTGAACGAATCCCTCCCAAGGAAATTCATAAAGAATTTTTTCGTGTGTTTAGTACGACTTCCTGTTATATATATTTTTTAAAAAATCTATAATAAATAAATAAATTAACTTTTTTTACTCAAAAATAAATAAATAAGTAAAATATTTTTTAAAAATCACATTCATTTAGAAAACTTTTTTTTAATCAAACACTTGAGAAAACCATGTAAATTGATTGACCGAAAATCACTAATAAGAAAATAAATTTGTTATTTTAAGCATTTTTGTAAAAATGGTAACCAAATGCAAAATTCAAAACATTGTCAAGTATTTAAAAAAAAACATCTCAAATTAAAAGGTATGAATAATGTAGTGGAATAAAATAAAATTGTTATTGAAAACACTTTTTAAAAGTAATTAAACTATGGTGACTTCATAATTACCTGAACTTTCCTAGTCCTTGGTAGCATCGAATTATATTTTCCAATTCTCACAAAGCATTCACGGCATTCATCTTTCTTAAAATATTGTAGAACATCCCACCATTTTTATCATCAACTATAACATCAAACTGAAACCACTTTTAAAGCTTTGTCCGTCACAAACTTTTCTCGAATAACATAAAACTTAAACCATTTTTATCGAGGTGACACGTTAGCAGGGAATATGAAATCAACTCTAAGTCTGCTAAGTTAGAAACTTGAAAATAGAACCTTGTACTAATATGGTATTTGACCACCTATACTCTGAAGTTAAGTTGAAGTTAAGTTAGTGTTGAGTATGAGCTAGTGTCAAAACTGAGTTTAGTTGAATGCAAAAGATTGTGTTCCTTTTAGAAGTTCGTGCAAGTTCGGTCTCATATGTGGAAGCTAATTTTGCTAAAGCGTCGGCGTTAGCGTTAGCGTTCTTCGATCATGGGATTTGTCTAATCATGAAATCTTTGAATTGTGTTAGGCTTGCTTTGGCCTTCTCTAAGTACTTCGCCATCCTGCTATCTTTTGCTTAGAATTCATCTGTGATTTGATTGACAGTGAGTTGGGAGTCACTTAAGATTAGTAGACACGCGGTGCCCATACTCTAAGCCATTCGGAAGCCTGCTAGCAAGGCTTCATACTCCGCTTCGTTATTGGAAGTTCGGAAGTTGAACCGCAAGGCATATTTAAAACACAGTCCCTCTGGTGTTTGCAACAACATCCTTACTCCGAATATTTTTTCATTTGACGAGCCATCAACGTATAACATCCACTGCTGTTTTCTATCAATTCAGGCATTTTCGGGAGTTAGCTCAGCAATGAAGTCTACCATTGCTTGTTCCTTTAATGATGTCCTTGGTTCAAAGCAGATGTCGTACTCACTTAGTTGTAGGGCCCACTTCATTAATCGTCCTAACGTCTTAGGCTTTTGAAAGATTTGTCGTAACGGGAAGTTCGTCATCACCATAATCTTGTGCACTTGAAAATACGGTCGCAGTCTTCGAGCCGAGGTGACTAGCGCTAGGGCTAACTTTTCCATGCTCGGGTATCTGGTCTCCGTATCGGTCATGGTCTTACTCGTATAGTACACCGGGTTTTGTCGGCCTTCATTGTTGCGGATTAGAACCGAACTCATCGTAGTATCTGAAACTGCTAGGTGACGTACAACTGATCCCTTAGTTCCGATTTTGACAATAACGGAGCAGTTCCGAGGTATTGATTCAGCTGGGAGAAGGCTTCCTCGCATTCTTCGGTCCACTCGAACTTGCCTTTTGTTCGCAAGACTTTGAAGAATGGGAGACACTTATCAGTGGAGCGGGAAACAAAACGATTCAGTGCGGCTATCCGACCCTTCAGGCACTGAAGTTGTTTCAAGTTTCCTGGCAACTTCATCTCGAGAACTGCCTTTATCTAACCATAAAGGCCAAGAATTTGCCTGAAGCCACGCCGAAGGCGCATTTGGCAGGAT